AGCCCCGTGCTCCTCTCCCCCTGCGGGCAGCAGTGGGGCCAGCGCTTCTAGGTCCCGTGCTGGGGCCTCACAGCGGTTCCTTCCGGGACTTTCTGAGGGTGTGCGTCCTCTGGGGCGTTGTTTTTATGATAAAACTCAATATACAGGGCGGGCAGAGGTAGGTTTACAGGTGTGAGTCGGCGAAACAGGGTTTATTCTTGCATTAATTATTGTATTATTTTCTACATAAACAACTGTAACCCACCTTTGCCCATCTGTTCCTGGGCCCATGCATGTGTCCTAACGCACCTTCTCCCCGCAGGCGCTCTGACCAAGGTGAAGGAGAGCCGGCGGCACGTGGAGGAGGGGAAGATGGAGGCGCAGAAGGCCGAGGGCATCCAGGCTCGCTGCAACACCATCTCCTTCGCCACGCTGGCCGAGATCCACCACTTCCACCAGGTCCGCGTGCGCGACTTCAAGTCCCAGATGCAGCACTTCCTGCAGCAGCAGATCATATTTTTCCAGAAAGTGACGCAGAAGCTGGAGGAGGCTCTTCACAAGTACGACAGCGTCTAGTGCCGGGCGCGCGTGGGGCGCTCCAGTTCAAGGGTGATTTCCGCAGCGGAGCACAGACTGCTCAGAGCTGCCGCCGCTCCCGCAGGCACAGGCCACTCTGTGCCTGCAGCCGGGCTGGCTGTGTGCTGGCGCAGGGCAGTGCCGCATCGTAGCTAAGTTACACTATGTACGCCTACACTACCATGTAGCGGGGATACGATTATACTCTTTGCCTTATTGCTTTCTGGAGGATGGGTCTTCAGTGCAGACTTGGCAGACCTCAGAGCACCGCGGGGTCTCAGGGAGCCCGGGCCAGCCTGCTCCATGCCTTTCCCGCCCACAGACTGGGGTCCCCGAAATTCAGCCTGTTCTCTGTTTACAAACTCCGACGAGAGCAGCTGTGCGACTTCGTGCCTTTAGACTCGGGTTTTCATTTCCCCGCCCCCTTTATAAAGTAACACGACTTTTTAATCGAAAGAGCGAAAGGCCAGTGCGTCCAGGGACGGCCTGCTAGTGACTGCAAGTGGCACTGGGCGGGCGGGAGGGTCAGTTGGCACCGGCTGACGTGTGAGCGCGGCAGAGGGGCTGTGCTCCTCTGGGACTTGCGGTCCTTTGGGGAGGCGATGGGGCACTCTGCTCCCTTAGGTGCTCCGTGTGGCCTCCCTCCCGCGTCCTGGAGGCCTGTGTGCGGGTCACACGCACCCTGCTCACCACGGAGGCAGGGGGCCGGCCCGCGGGACAAGCACAGATTCGGTGAGGACACGCTCAGCTCTGCTTAGGAGGGTTTCTTTTCTTTCCTTTTTAGCTTGAAGATTTCTTTTCCTGTTCAGTGTGATTTTTTTAAATGGATCTACACTGTTAACCGATCGAGACTCCACTGTGATTCACTCACTCGTTTACTTAATCGACCACTTTTCAGGGATGTCTATAAATTTAGTGTTACACGTGATGCAAATAGCGTTGATCTGAGGAGGGACCAGAAGTAATTCTATTCCAGATGCTGAAAGCAAGAAGAATTGTTATTTTTAAGTACTGAGAAGCCCCAGGACATTTAACATTAAAAATTACCGTAAATATATTCTTTTAAAGAAAATACAAAGGCTGATGCATACCAAAAAGATTCCCAAGCAGCTTCATTTAAAAAAGCATAAAGATTCTGGCTAGAAGCGCCTGGATCTCCATGTTTTTCGTCCTTGCTGAGCTCAATAACGTGTGGGTGCGTTTAGAGATGCGACTGTCACTGACGGTGGCGGCACCTGCTGTGTAGGAAGGAGGCGTACGCTGCCGCGGGAACCTGCTCGTCAGCGAGGAGCAGAAGCAGAGGCCAGCGTGATGTGCTGGTGAGTCGCGCTGGTTAAGGAAGAGGCAGTTAGCGACATAATCACTCCACAGCGCAATTCCTCTTGAGAGGAATCTCACATGGGCAGGGTTTTTAAGATCGGGGTCTCATGACTTATCGGCACTGTATTCCTTAGGTTGTCTCCTGGGACGTGGGGCTGTGACCAAATACATTGTTCTCTCAGGAGTGACTTCCGCTCATTGATGGCAAAATACAGTTTGATAAGCAAAACCCATGTGTGTATAAATGTTAATTTTATGGCAGAAGTTTGGAGATTATAATTCTAGCATTTGCTCTGAGTTTGGGTCTGTATTGGGCAAATATGCACTATGCTTTCAAATGATTTGAAAATCCGTTTTCTTTGCCTCTTTATTTTGATGGTGGTTTGATCTTCTTTTTAAAATCACTAAACTCCTGCTCTGGCAGCCTGGACACGACCTGAGGGGTCTCAGAGGCTTGTGCTTGGGCCGCGGTGGGCAGGGCTTCGATGATACGGATTAAAGATGAAGGCACCGGGAGTGCAAGCTCGCGCTGCCGCCTGGAGAACTGCTGTGCTTCATGGCGACCACACCCCGTGCCGCTGGTCCTCCGCGGCTTCAGGTAACTCTCTGCGCTCGGACCCTGGAGTTCCCGTGCTCATTTCCACCTGAGTCCTCACTTCTCTAACGTTCTTGGTCCTGTTGAAACATTTCAGTATAAAAGATACTGCGATGTGAGTGCCCGAGAGAAAAGCCATCATAATGTGTACGCTGGCCATGGGGATCAGCGTGGTACCGCTTTTTAAAATAAACTATCCTGCCCTTCATGCCACTGTTTGTCTTCATTTCTGTAGTTAATGATTCTGATATGGATTTATAACATGAGGGCGTCCGCTTCAGCCTGGGTTTCTATTTAATTGCAGATGGAGTTGTTTCTACACGGCAACTCTAGTGCCACGGGCTGTTCTACAGCCACAGGTCACAGCTACAGCCACAGCCAGGGTCACAGCTACAGCCAGGGTCACAGCTATAGCCAGGGTCACAGCTACAGCCACAGCCAGGGTCACAGCTACAGCCACAGTCACAGCTATAGCCAGGGTCACAGCTACAGCCACAGCCAGGGTCACAGCTACAGCCACAGTCACAGCTATAGCCAGGGTCACAGCTACAGCCACAGCCAGGGTCACAGCTACAGCCACAGTCACAGCTATAGCCAGGGTCACAGCTACAGCCACAGCCAGGGTCACAGCTACAGCCACAGTCACAGCTATAGCCAGGGTCACAGCTACAGCCACAGCCAGGGTCACAGCTACAGCCACAGTCACAGCTATAGCCAGGGTCACAGCTACAGCCACAGCCAGGGTCACAGCTACAGCCACAGTCACAGCTATAGCCAGGGTCACAGCTACAGCCACAGCCAGGGTCACAGCTACAGCCACAGTCACAGCTATAGCCAGGGTCACAGCTACAGCCACAGCCAGGGTCACAGCTACAGCCACAGTCACAGCTATAGCCAGGGTCACAGCTACAGCCACAGCCAGGGTCACAGCTACAGCCACAGTCACAGCTATAGCCAGGGTCACAGCTACAGCCACAGCCAGGGTCACAGCTACAGCCACAGTCACAGCTATAGCCAGGGTCACAGCTACAGCCACAGCCAGGGTCACAGCTACAGCCACAGTCACAGCTATAGCCAGGGTCACAGCTACAGCCACAGCCAGGGTCACAGCTACAGCCACAGTCACAGCTATAGCCAGGGTCACAGCTACAGCCACAGCCAGGGTCACAGCTACAGCCACAGTCACAGCTATAGCCAGGGTCACAGCTACAGCCACAGCCAGGGTCACAGCTACAGCCACAGTCACAGCTATAGCCAGGGTCACAGCTACAGCCACAGCCAGGGTCACAGCTACAGCCACAGTCACAGCTATAGCCAGGGTCACAGCTACAGCCACAGCCAGGGTCACAGCTACAGCCACAGTCACAGCTATAGCCAGGGTCACAGCTACAGCCACAGCCAGGGTCACAGCTACAGCCACAGTCACAGCTATAGCCAGGGTCACAGCTACAGCCACAGCCAGGGTCACAGCTACAGCCACAGTCACAGCTATAGCCAGGGTCACAGCTACAGCCACAGCCAGGGTCACAGCTACAGCCACAGTCACAGCTATAGCCAGGGTCACAGCTACAGTTTATATTAGTTCACACAAACACTCCATCCATGCTTTTGTTCCGGCCCTCCGGTCCAGTTTAAGAACCCATTGTGGCCCTCGAGTCAGAAAGTTTGCCCACTCCTGGCTTAGAAGATGAATGTGTGTGTGGCACAGATTGACAGTCGGCAACAAGGTAACAGTGCACTGGGGTCCGGGAGCCAGGTGGGTGGGAGCGAGGGAGGTTTACATTGTATACCTGCTTATATCTTTGAATTCCAATGATTGAATGTATTTTCTATTTTAAAAATAAAGATACATTTTAAAATTGACAGGGAGACAAGAAAAAAAAAAGAACTTAAAAAGGAGGGTTGCCCAGCCGGCTTGGCTCAGTAGCTGAGGGTCAACCTATGAACTAGGAAGGAGGTCAGGGTTCAGTTCCCGGTCAGGGAACTCGCCCGGGTTGGGGGCTCGATCCCCAGCGTGGGGCGTGCAGGAGGCAGCCGGTCAATGATTCTCATCATTGATGTTTCCATCTCCCTCTCCCTCTCCCTTCCTCTCTGAAGTTAATAACCATATGTATGTATTATATACACACATATCTATATCTATCTACCTATCATCTATCTGTAACAGTGACCTGTTAAATATAAACGGTTAAAATGAACCACGGCGTGGGTTTCGTTCTTTAGGGCCTGGGCCTTGAAAGAGCCAGAGGGACTCCGGGACCGTCCCCTGACCTGGCCCTGAGACTCCGGGCAAATCCCGCACCCTCTCCTGCCAGGATGGCTTTATGGCTCCTTATGAAGATGGGGAAACCGGTCCAGGACCATGGAAAAGCTACGTCTACAGGGCTGTGTAGCACTTGGCAGTTCACTGGCCGTTTCGTGTGCCGCCGCCCGCACCATATGTGTATTATATATACATACATACACACATATCTATATCTATCTGTCTACCTATCATCTATCTGTAACGGTGACCTGTTAAATATAAATGGTTAAAATGAACCACGGCGTGGGTTTCGTTCTTTAGTGCCTGGGCCTTGAAAGAGCCAGAGGGACCCCGGGACGGTCCCCTGACCCGGCCCTGAGACTCCGGGCAAATCCCTCACCCACTCCTGCCAGGAAGGCTTTATGGCTCCTTATGAAGATGGGAAACCGGTCCAGGACCATGGAAAAGCTACATCTACAGGGCTGTGTAGCACTTGGCAGTTCACTGGCCGTTTCGTGTGCCACCGCCCGCACATCGTATTGGACATCGTGCCAACTGACCTGGGCAAGCCCTTCTGGGGCGGCCCCCCACTCCCCTCCACTGGCCGAACCCCACTCCTCCTCTGGGCCCGGGTTCGCCCTGGCATCTCTTGCACTTAGTGCAGTTCTCTCTCTTCTCCTCCAGCCCGTTGGCGTCTTTGCTTTGTTTCCCAGGGTTTAGGCAGCACGGGGCATATTTATAGACTGACGGTCGGAACGAGGTCAGAGCAGGTGACTCAGAAGCCCCGCCGGCTGGTGTGGTGTGTTTGCTGTGCAGATACCAGCAGGACGGCGATGAACTGCAATGCCTGCTGTTTCCTCCCCTGTTTCCAGTTGGTGGGCAGGCCCTGGCCGAAAGCAGGCCACACCGTGCCTCCCGGTTCTCCTCGGCGAAAGCCTGGCGTCAGCACCATGGAAACCAGTGTGTCATCGGCTCCCTGTGGGCTTCGGGCTGGTACTTAGTGTCACAGCGACGGGGGAGCATCTTCAGTCACTGTGTTGCTTCCTGTCATCATTGCACAAAGTGTCACTTACTCGGTGGCTGGAAACCACAGATTTCTTGCCTTCAGTTCCGGGAGGCAGAGCCCAGAATAGAGTTCATTGAGCTAAGGCCGCGCTCCTCCCGGGAGATGGCGGGGAGAGTCCTTCCTCTTGCCTTTCCCAGCTTCCCAGGGCCCTCCATCCTCACGGCCAGCAGCGGTGGTGGCACCTCCACGTGACTCTCCTGCCCTCCTCGTCCACCTCGAACGACCGGCCCCCCACTCCCCTCCACTGGCCGAACCCCACTCCTCCTCTGGGCCTGGGTTCGGCCGTGCCCGCCACCGGCGGCCCTGGCATCTCTTGCACTTAGTGCAGTTCTCTTGCTTCTCCTCCAGCCCGTTGGCGTCTTTTCTGTGTTTCCCAGGGTTTAGGCAGCGCGGGGCATATTTATAGACTGATGGTCGGAACGAGGTCAGAGCGGGTGACTCAGAAGTCCCGCCGGCTGGTGTGGTGGTGTGTTTGCTGTGCAGACACCAGCAGGACGGCGATGAACTGCAATGCCTGCTGTTTGTTTCGTGTGCCACCGCCCGCACATCGTATTGGACATCGTGCCAACTGACCTGGGCAAGCCCTTCTGGGGCGGCCCCCCACTCCCCTCCACTGGCCGAACCCCACTCCTCCTCTGGGCCCGGGTTCGCCCTGGCATCTCTTGCACTTAGTGCAGTTCTCTCTCTTCTCCTCCAGCCCGTTGGCGTCTTTGCTTTGTTTCCCAGGGTTTAGGCAGCACGGGGCATATTTATAGACTGACGGTCGGAACGAGGTCAGAGCAGGTGACTCAGAAGCCCCGCCGGCTGGTGTGGTGTGTTTGCTGTGCAGATACCAGCAGGACGGCGATGAACTGCAATGCCTGCTGTTTCCTCCCCTGTTTCCAGTTGGTGGGCAGGCCCTGGCCGAAAGCAGGCCACACCGTGCCTCCCGGTTCTCCTCGGCGAAAGCCTGGCGTCAGCACCATGGAAACCAGTGTGTCATCGGCTCCCTGTGGGCTTCGGGCTGGTACTTAGTGTCACAGCGACGGGGGAGCATCTTCAGTCACTGTGTTGCTTCCTGTCATCATTGCACAAAGTGTCACTTACTCGGTGGCTGGAAACCACAGATTTCTTGCCTTCAGTTCCGGGAGGCAGAGCCCAGAATAGAGTTCATTGAGCTAATTCTGGGGACGCCAGGCCGCGCTCCTCCCGGGAGATGGTGGGGAGGGTCCTTCCCTTTGCCTTTCCCAGCTTCCCAGGGCCCTCCATCCTCATGGCCAGCAGCGGTGGTGGCACCTCCACGTGACTCTCCTGCCCTCCTCGTCCACCTTGAACGACCTTGGGGTTACCGTGGGCCGACCTGGTAGAAACGGGGAGCATCTTCCGTGGAGGTCAGCTGAGCAGCAGCCTCCGTTCCACCTGCAGCCTCCATTACCCGACCGTGCCCCATGGAACCTGGCACAAGGACACCGTTGCTTCACTGGACTGTACAAGCCTGACATGCACTGGGCTCTGCAGCTGAGCTTATCTTACTAATATTAGGATTTTAACTCCCTCCCTCCCTCCCTCCCTCCTTCCTCATTCTTTCAACATCACTGTGGGTGGCACCAGCACCGCCCCTCTGAGGTGAGCTGTAATTAAATTCGCCCCACCCCCACCATGATCTCACCCAGAGGCTGGGAAAGGCCTGTGAGGACAAAGGGCGGGCCCGCCCTTCCTCTGACGCGGCCCTTGGTGACATCACAGGCAGAGTCATTTCCTGCCGGGGCCTTATCTCCATGCTGACTCCTGGATGCTGGGACTTCCTCTAGCTGTGCTGGGATTCGGGAATCAAACCGGCACCACTTCCTACTGGGTTTATACCGAGGCCCCATCCGGGTCCTGGGCTGGGCTGATGTGCACGGTGCCGGCGACATCCAGCGAGCGCCGCGCGTTGCTGGCGGCCACGGTCAGGCCTGTATTCCCAGCTGCAGACTGGCCGAGGGTTTGGAAGGAGTCAAGCCTGACTCGTCCTCGCATGGAGGTGTGACACTCGCTGGGAAGGACAGCTGTTGAAATTAGCGAAGTCGCCCATGCGGCTCCTGTTGTTGTGATTTTAATATATTTTTTATTGATTTCAGAGAGAAACGGAGAGGGAGACAGAAACATCAACGATGAGAGAGAATCACGGGTCGGCTGCCTCCTGCACGCCCCCCACTGGGGATAGAGCCCACAACCCGGGCCTGTGCCCTGACCGGGAATCGAACCGTGGCCTCCTGGTTCAGGGGCCGACGCTCACCCCTGAGCCGTGCCGGCCGGGCCCACGTGGCTCCTGGAAGGTGTGCTGTGCCGAGGGGGCTGATGGAAGCGCTGGACTCACCTTCTCATCTCGGCCAGAGACCCCAGAGCTGCCTGTCCCAGAGGGAGGCCGAGGCCCAGGGACAAGTCGTGTGTGTGAAGGTGGAACCGGCCAGCGTGGCCCCTCGGGGTCTCCGTCCCGCAGGAGAGGGGCTCCCCAATCTGTGCCCGTGTGGGGGACCGGCTGGAGGTTGAGGGACCACCAGCATGAGGACCCCAGCCTCCCCGTTTAGTCACCTGTGACTGCCCCCCGGGGATGGGCCTGTCGGAGTCGCTCTGGGGAGCAGCCTTTGCCGAAAGCCGCGTCCCCGCCCTTCTCATCACGGGTGTCCCTTCCCCTCCCACGCGGGCGGCGGCCAGAGGTGAGACGGCGCTTTCCATGCAGAGCCTGAGCGCGAGGGGCCTTGAGAAGGAGCCGCCGTGCCGTTGACTCGACTGTTAAATAGAACGCGTGTCCTTCGCTCCCTTATCAGCAGGAAGCAGCCGGGTAGGAACCAGGCGAGGCCCCAACTTTAAAATCCGCGTTTCTCTCTCAGGCCACCGACCCCGGAGGAAAGCGAACACCCGCTTGGGTTCTCTGACAGGAGGTTCTGTTTCTCTGGATAAAAGTGGTGCCTGGTGAGCGACGTGTGATGGCCGGGGCGGGAACAGTCCTGCCCTCCGTCCAGCAGTTTCACCTGGTCCTCGGGCAGCGCTGTGGGGGGCACACGTGCCAGGGCTCCGTGCTGACGGACGGGCACCAGGGCAGGTGCGTGCCCAGCGGCCACGGCAGGAGGTGAGGCGGGACTTAGCCCAGGCGCTCGGCCCCAGAGCCTGCTTCTCAGCCACCGGGTCCTTTGTCGTTTCTGCCTCGTCTTCTAGAATCTTCCGAATGTGGAGGCAGAGAGTGTGAGGATGTTGGATGAGCTATTCCTCATGCCACGTGAGAGCAGTGGTGACGAGAAAGGTTCCATCTCTGCCCCACGGCCTTCGCGTGTGACCTTGGGCTCCGCCCGACACCCTCCCGTGCTCATGCCACAGAGCAGTGGTGACGAGAAAGGTTCCATCTCTGCCCCACGGCCTTCGCGTGTGACCTTGGGCTCCGCCCGACACCCTCCCGTGACCCACGTGGAGCAGCTGGGCTCAGGTCCGGGCGCGGGCCCTTCCAGGAGGGGAAGCGGCTGCAGGTGGGATGTGGTCCTGGGTTGGAGCTTCTGTGTGCGGAGCCCTCTCCTCCTCCTGCTCTGTTTGCTTTTAGTTTCCCCGGAAACGTGTACCTCCCGCTTAGCTCACCCTGGCTCCGTCCTGACATCTTTTGTGGAAGTCACAGTGCTGTTCTTCCCACCCTGGCCTCTACTTCTCTCCACCTCCCCGGAGTCCAGTGCCCGTGGCAGGGCGTGTGGCTGACCTTGGAAGGACCGGCTGTGCTGCGGTGACACACGGTGACACACTGTTAGTGGAGACACGCCCGGTGTGTGCCCCCTGCCCAGGCCTCGAGGACACCCCCTGCTGTCCTGTCCCCCCCCTGCCTGCCCCCAGGCCCAGAGGAGGGGCCGCCTGGGGAGGGAGGGCAGGGAGCTGGGCCTGCTCCTCAGTCACGGCCCTGCCAGGCGGGCACTCGGCTGAGCGGCTGTGGCTGGAGTGAGGTGTGAGCTGGTGTCCGGGCAGAGGCCTCAGCCACCCTCGCACCCGAGTCCTTTATGACTGTCGCTGCGAACACAGCCACCATGTTCCACGGAACCTTCTTATCTACGTGAGAAGCAGCGTCTTTCTTCCCAACATTGTAAGGAATATGAGCTCCTTGTAAAGAATTCAGAAAACACAGCAAGGTCTAAGGAAGAGGGAGCCCGGCCCATGTGGCTCAGGGGCTGAGCGCCGACCTATGACCAGGAGGTCACGGTTCGGTTCCCGGTCAGGGCACAATGGAGCCCGGAGAACAAGCCACCAGCCGGTCGCAGGGACAGCGTGGGGCGGGGCCAGGTCAGGACTGGGTGTCCTTCCTCAGCTACGTCGTCTGAGCTAGAACGAGGGGAAGGAATGCCAGAGACCCCAGCAGGTGTTGGGACGGAGTGGGGACCCCTGAGAGCGGGGGCGTGGCCTCCCTGCAGGCGGGTGAGAAAGGGGGGCCACGCTCAGGACCGGCCAGGAGGAAGGCAGGCACACGGCGCTCCTGGCTCCTTCCGTCCGCCCCTGGGCCGTGTGCTCAGGAACGAGGAAGTGGCCGAGGGCACACGGTCCTGGCTCTGCCTGGACTTGGAGCCACGGAGGGAGTCGCCAGGTCAGGGCCCGCCTGCCGCGGAGAGAAGCCACCCACGGGCCCACCCCCAGGCAGGCTG